CTCTGCATTACCACTTCGGCGATGAGTCCTGATATTGGTGATCCCATTGGTGTTCCTTTTATTTGTTCGTAGACTCTGTTGTTGAACTGAAGATACGTTGTTAAGCATAGGTCGATGAGTTCAAGCACACTTTGACTCTGAAGCTTTGTATATTTGTGCAGATTTGTGTCGTTGATGAGAAGCAGGGAAAGAGTTTCTTTAGCTAAGCTTGGCTCTATTGAGGTGAATAAGGCGATTACGTCGAAGGATATCATCGTTTCATCGTTATCGATTTGAATCCCCTTGAGTTTATCCAAGAATCTGCCACACAATTAAAATATTAAACTGACAATAAAATCGAAATGATAAATCGTATGATACTAGTTTATGGATTGATAGAAAGCTTATGATAAAAAGGAATCTAATCTAAATCTGATAATCTAGTAACTTAGTAATTATACAATAAGAATATACATAGTAATAGTTCATGAATTAGTTCTGAGCGTTACCATCCTCTCCGGCATATATTTCCGTTCTGACATGGCAAAGACAAGTGTCAGAATAGTAGAACTAATATCGTTAGTAATTATTATTAGTAGTGGTATTAGTAAAAAAATATTAACTATAAAGGATATGATCCAATAAAAAAGAATGAATTTGTGGAATAAAAGTTGGATAATAGTCTTGGAACTCAGGATCCAAATAAAGATAACGAGTGAATGCATCTGTGGCACTGCGAATGATTCTGAGTTAAGACACTCAATGTTCTCAAAAATCGCATGATGTTATCGCGCGGTCCAGACCAGATAGTCTAGATTTACCAATTCGGCTGTGACTAAAAGTCATTGATTTTATTGGATAATGCTGTATCTTGTTTAGTCGTCCCATAACTTCTAACTTATTACGTCAGTTAATATCACTTATAGAAGCAGTGGGTGATTAGAAATACATGGTACATATCTCAATTACCTCATGTTAACCAGTTAGCTTTAGTCTTGCTGCGGTTTTGCTCACTCAGTGGTTCTAAAGAAAGAGTCTAATGCACTCAAGGTATCTATTATCAAATGTTGGTAATCTACAAATATTCTCCAATACACATTTCAAGTCCATAGAGTAGGACGGAGCTATGTGTGTTGTACTCGAATTTCCGTCTCACTTTTGCCACATGTATCTGGACTTGACAAAGTTATTGAACGTTCTGAATTCATGCTAAGGTTTAGTCAGCTACTAGGTCCGATGACTTTCAAGATAAGAGAGGTGGTCGACTCGTTTATTGGTTCCCCATTGTTAGTGGGACATAGATTGGATTAAAGCATAATTGTGTTGTTGCACGCTGATTGGCTCTTTCGTATTCAGAATCTCCGGATCTAGAATCTTCTCATGTAAAAAAACTATAAATTCACTAACGTCTTCTTCCTCTGGACCTTCTGTCTTCCATCTAACTTTGTTATTGGAATGTAATCTATTTCCTCTTCGACCGTGTTCTGATTTGGGGGAACGTCTCGAGTGGATTGGTGTCCGAGAATACTAAGCATTAGGAATAACTGAGTTGTAATAGAGATTTATAGCACCCATGGTTCTTTAATTGATGTCAGTCGGTTCGTTATAAACGAAATGTGTAATAATTCCACAGAGGATTTCGTAATTTTTGTCACCTTAAATGAACAAATAATGCAGACATGTTAATACCTATCGGTCGATGAATTGTTTGTTTCTAGTTTTAACCATGAAAGCCAAACTTTATGTTGACGTGAAAACCAACAATGCGTCATTATGAAATGTTTTATATCCGATTGTACATCAATCATTTAAACTGTATACAAGCTACTTCAGCTTTCTGAAGTGCAAACTGGTTAGTTTGTCATACATCGCTACCCATAATAAAAGAAATTAACATTTAGAGTGCAAATACCGGCTCTTACCTACTGTACGCTGTATGATGCCAATACACATGGTACAAATTTATTCACAGTTAACTGCTTATGAGTTATGCAGTTTTTATATTAGAATACAGTAAACAGATGATGCCATGATCGTGAAGTATTTTTTGTCAGAATGACATGTTGATAATCATGTTATTATTCTGTAACTATCAATTGCATGTCACTGATGATAGCATTTAAAGGAAACTATTAACCTGATCTAGTGCTGTACATAAATAACTTTCTAATAGTCACTTTGGATTCATCGGATCTACATCTTGCAATTGAATTATTTTTTCTTTGGTTAGCGTTCTTTTAACGAGTTATTTTTCTACGGGATAGGGACCCTATGCTCAACGCTCCTCCTTTATACGGCCTTGAGACCGGCAATAACCCTAAGAGGGCTCCAGGCGGAGTTACATTTTATAAACAGCCACTTTTCAATTTGCAAGCACTACAACCTGATATAGATTTTGGACAGCTGACATTTCCTAGAGTGTAATTAACCTATTCGTTCATCCTGTCTGTTGTATTAGGCCTGAGAAATTTTCAAGTAAGGCTTTCATATTATCTTTAGTGTTTGAAAATGCAAATAACTTTGTACGTGTCAGAGTAGGTACTGGAAACTCTCATAAGAATCAGTATTTAGTTCAATAAGTAATTATTTTAATTAACGTGTTGTACTGACAGTTTGTCTTGAATATAAATCTGTCAAATTGAGATCTACCCATTAAGAGTAAAGTTACTTTTTAGTACATCGTGAGATTATTTAACAGTGGTACTCTGTTGCTTTGTAGTCAGTACCAGTTAGTAAACAAACTTTTCAAACATTATTCTTCACATAACACTTGGGTAAATATTAATCGTGTACTTGCTAGTGTTTGGTTTCTCTAAGTAGGAGTTTCTCGATAGTTTGAGTAGGAAGCTTTTATCAGTTGTACAAACTGAGTTGAAAGTCGGACAGTAAGTTAACGCTGTATTGCAAGAAGCCTTGTTAAAAGTTTCCCGACGCTAGGAGAAGACTCAAAAGACCTCCCATCTGCGTTTAATAAAAACTTTCCAGAGAGTTCTAGAAAGACGATGGGCTATTTATCAATCATTCTTTGATTAGATAAGTATCGATTCGGTCACCAGTTTTGTATGTTTCTGAAATTATCTAGAGCATTAAGATCACACTAACTTCTAAATACTTGTTTTCTGAATCTAAAATGACCTTTCCATACTTCTCACCTTTGTTCTGTTCGGGTTTCAGTATAAGAGGTATCTGAGGGACTAAGAAGCAGTTGGAACATCTGAATGACGTATTCGAGTGCTGGAAATCAGATTTATTTTCTAGTAGTTCCATATGTAATGTCAATTTTTGAGGAAATCTGTTCCAAACCCACTAAAATTTAACCTGATTTTGTAATAAGAACGTTGCTGGTGATAAGGATGCTTGATACTTTCGGTGGGGTTTAACGCTTGAGTAATCACAAGTTTGCAAAACTGAGTGGTGAACACGTTCGTACACAAGCTAATAATAATACCAACATCAGTACGCTGAACACGACTACTGTACTGTTCTTTTTTACTGGCTAACTGTGATGAGAAATCCTGTTTGTATAGAATCCTTATTGATCGACACCTCAGAAGAAGTGATTTTTATTATATGGTGAGAAGGTACGCAAAACGGTAATATATCAGAAATGATTGGAGGAAATTAGTTTGTTGATCGCTCACCTTCTAAACAATCAAAACCGAATCGTTAGGACTAATTTTCCAGTATCGTACTAGTAGTTAAATGAAGGAATGTTTATGTCTCTTTTTTGAGTTGCATTGACAACATACGCATCCTTACTGTCACCATTTCTAAGTATTTTAATGAGTATGGGCCAGGAATCTTCCTAAAAATACAGTTGGTTGCAAACTTTCATGCTACTCCCCAATAGTTTTAAACACTCCGAAAAAAACACTATCTGAGATTGATAACAATGAACGGAAAATGACTTACTAATCGAGTGGTTGATTGCTGTTATCACAATCCTAAGTGTGGTTAGTCCGAACCTGTATATCTGTCAATTGTGACTCATCGAACTGCGACACTAGTTCGAATCCTACATGAGGCATTAATTCTTTCAATATTGTGAATAAGTCCTTCTAACGAGTATCAACTAGAATGAAACTCGAATTCTATGTTTCCTCTTGAATACTTCCAACAGAGTAACATGAAAACACAGTTTACATGATATGTAGTTGTTTAGACTTAGTGATCGACATAAAACTCCATTGACAGATTATAATCAACACCTTAAACACTAGACAAATATGGCATATGGCGGTGGTCTAACAATGATTGATTGATGATTTCAAATGTGTAAAAACAATAGCCTCCATAACTCTAATTGCTAAATCGTAAAATATGCTTACTAGTGACTAGCTTCGTGAAGGAATTCTCGGAGTTCTAGTGAGAAGACGTGACCAGTGGGGTTCAACCCTGTCGAGTGTAGGCAGTAACTATCAAAGACAAATGGGTGAGGTCGCGCAAAATCCCTTGATCAATCAGAGTTAGACATGAACACCATTGGGAGCCAGTCCACTGGTCCAGAGGTTAGGCGTTCGCATGCAAGACAAAGGTCCCAGGTTCGGTCCTGCGAGGCGCATGAGTCGTGAGTGCGCACTGTTGATGAGTCCCATACCAGGAAGAAACGGCCGTCCAGTGCTTCCAGGTTTCTAATGGTGGTCTAACAATAATTGATTGTTGATTTCAAATGTGTAACAACACTAATCTCCATAACTCTAATTGCAAAATATTGCATTGATGAATTAGCATTGTTTCAGTAAAACCACTTACAGCATTCAAAGTTAAATAATAATCTGAAAAGAGATTGGATCGTTCCATTTATACTTCAATATTGAGTGTTATCGTACAAAAACTACTAAATATACTTTAAGCATAACTTATAAGTACTTTTATGTGGATTCAATGTCATATGAAACTATAATCAAAAATAAATAGTGCTTTTTTAATGAAAAAAAAAATAAAAACACACTAGTTTTTCTTCTTTAATATCATAGTTTGTTAAAAAAAATTTTTCTTCGATAACATTATACGGAAAACATATGTCTAAACATCGTAAAACTACTCTACTAAGAGGATTCCATTTTATTGTACGAGAAGAAACAACACCTTCAACGGATGATGATTCTTTGTCAAAAACTTCATTAAATTCGAACATTGTATTTCTTGATCAATTACTTGATAATAAACAAACAGTTGACTATCTAACAAATGAAAACACATTTCTATCCAATGAAATCAACGGGTACAAATTATGGACAATGGAATGGTTACAAAAACATTTAGATATTTTAACGGAATTTGGACAAATTCTTATGAAACAAAGTAAAAATGCTTCCGTACATATTAATATTGAAGATATTCTACCGATAACACGTTTATGGCATAGTGATTTACAAACAGGTTTACCGCCAAACAATCTCAACCTTACTGATAATGATGATGATATTAATTCAAATCAAAAAATCTATTTCTATTGGGATATGTATGCGGTTTTACGTAAACCTAGTCAATATCAAATTAGACCGTATTTATTGAATGATAATAATTCAGTTGTCAATAATAATATACCAAGTTATTATTATCTTACTATTCCACCGATCAATTCTGAGAAAATCGACACAACATTTGAATCAGCTCAAAAAAAACAAGATATCAATGATCCATGTGAATTATTTCGAACTTCTGACAATGTTACATTGAAAAATCAACCTGATCGATGGAATTTTATTTCTCCTGAGAAAATTTGTCAATTATTCTTTTCAATTTTATTACCGGAATGTTTAAATGGAGCAATGGTTGGTGATCAAGGACAAAATAGTTTGAAAATAATAAGCTGGAAATGTTTACTTGGTGAAGATATCAATAAAGCAATTGGGATAGGTTATTTTCCTATTGAAGTAAGTCATTCATTCAGTTATGAATATGTTTACTTCTGTATTATTTTTACTGAATTGGAATAATTTCATAAATACTCTTGTCCAGTATCGTAGAACTTACTGTTTAGAAATCATAAGCTAATTGTTGAAACTCAAAGTCCTCGAGTCTCAATTCTTGGTGAATTTGTGAATGTAAACTATAGGCTTCACAGATGAGTTTCTTGAGACAGTCCTTACACTGCTGCGCACATAGTCTTAGCAAGACTATAATTAAAACAGGTAACTAAGCATATAACCAATAATCACAATGTTTCTGAAATTTAAACTCATGCAAATAGTAGAAACTTAGAAAATAGTGGTCAATTACAAATAGAACAATAAATACATACATACCGAATGGCAGCAGGGATACAACAAAATGAATCGATATCACAGGTTAGTCATGTTTATTATATCAAAAACAAACAGTCCCTTTTATAAATTTTGATAGAACAGTGAGAAGATGTAATTGACATATTTAAGTGTCAATTTTCATGTGTTTAAATGAATAAATGAATGAACATTTCGTTTCATTTAGACTGATAATGACCAAATTCAGATCTAATCTATGTAATACAGTCATCACTAAGTGTTAGGATATTCATCCAATATCCTAAGATATTTGTTTGTAAGTCTAGGTCTATTGGTCAATTCCTATTGGTCATCCTAACTATCAATGTCAGATACTTCATTGTTGTTTCCCATTCCATCTAACTGTATAAATACGCATTATCTACAACGTTTTATGGCCCGGACTCTGGCCTCGTACTTTCTGGATGCTTGTAGAATACATGTTCTACTTCATTTCAAGTCCTTTCTTCTACTCAATTAGGGGGTTTGGACAGTTGGATTAGAGTAGCTTATCATGTCGCCGGATCCTTGATCCTCGCTCTCGTTTTCCGACCAAGGTAAACTCGTAATAGCTCAGGCATATCAAATGACATGTTCTCGCGCATGCGTAACACTAAGAAATAGAAAAGTATTATATTTTTCACTACTTAATAGTCAATCAGTCAAATCTCCAGCAGTGTATAACTTACGAACTTCTCATGCATAATTGATTAACAGATTCATAATTTTATTAAACTGTAATTTATAAACGATTACTTATTTACCTAAAGCCTTTTACCTTCCTTGAGAATAAGCATTTTTTCCAGTTAGTGTCTATTTTCGCAAAGTTGTTTTCTACACGATAGAATTGCATATTCCCAATTCAAGATTCTTCATTTATCCAGGCGTCAGCTTGGCCGTATTTCTAGAATGACTGCAGTCGGAATTGATTAATTATCGGAAGATAGATTTCAGTTTCACCTTGTACAAATGACCGCATTACCACTCATCACATCAATCAAACTCATAGCATACTAAGAACCGATGAAAAGTGGGATATAGTTTAACTAACTACACAGTGTCTAACTCTAGTTTAATCACTACTACTGCGGCTGTAGTTAATAAGTATTATAATGCCAGAGTGAAAAGTAGGTTGAGTCGCAGAGAAAATTAAGGTATAGAAAATAGTGGGCAAAATAGGAAAACCATATCGTAAATCGTTAATTTGCAAATCTTCAATCCATCATCAAATCCATTGTCTGACATTTCACTAGTCCATGAGTTTCATACAAATTCCATTGTGTTCCCGCTCTTCCTTTCTTGATCTTCCCTCATCTTCTGCTGCCAGACATTACGTTTTCAATCGCGTCATATACTACTTATAGGTAGCGCGCACCACTACTACTAATAATAATGGTTGCTAGATTGATATTATTTGATTTAACTTTCCTTGAAATTACTCTTTAGAAATTTCAATTAATTATTGTTCTTTCATTACAGGTTGTATTTGATTTAAGTAGTTTAGACGTGAATTCAGTATATTATTCACCGAAATTATGGAAAACTCAACAAACTTCACCTGCTCATCCATTAACACGTAGAGTACAATGGAATAAAAATAACACCAACCAATTATCAACATCAAATTTAATAATGGATAATAAATCAGAAAAAACTCAACATTCATCCAATATCATCATGACAAATCTATTAATAATGCGTATAAATTTTCATCCAGTCTATTCATTAAATGATTTAATGAATGAAAGTACCTTATTGTCTAAATCGCAATCATCATTGACAAACAATCAATATACATCAGTATATTGGAAACATAATTTTCTAAAAATCATTCACCGTTTACAATTAACTGAAACTACCATTGATTCTAATCTACCTTTATGGCAGATATGTAGTTGTCTGTCAGAAGATTATATTTTACGAAGAATTGATCAAGCTGATCATGGTTTACATCGTAAAGCTATTAGAATTTTATTAAGTCTTTGTACAATAACTGATCAATTACAGAATACAGAATTATTGAAATTATTTACAGTAAGAAATATGATTCATCTATGTTTACATGTATTGTTTGAACAATCTAATCAGACTGTTAAACAACACTATGAAAATTTAATGAAAATTGAACAAAAACAAATTGTTAGTTGGCAAAAAACAAATTTATCTTGTTTAATTTATCAATTATTAAAGAAAATGATCAATGTATTAAATGACAAACAATTAGCTTCTTTTACTAGTCCAGAAAGTGATCTATTGAATATTGAAAAGCATGGCTTAACAAAACAAAGTATCAGTCGATCACGTGCTATTTTGAATTCATGGCTTCATAGTCCATTAGAATTGAAAAAAGTTATTATGAATCAAACAGAAGTTTTATTGAAATATATTAATAAATTTAAAAAGAAATATGAATGCGGATAAACAAATCTCATGGATCTATCTATCTATATGTTGTACATTGATTGACTGGTTGTTTGATTGACTTTGATTGTGATAAATTTGTTGATAAGATTATGTATGAATTTAAAATTTTGATTTTTGTGAATACGTTTCAAATTTTGATTCCTATTCTTTGACCAAAATAATACAGCTAAACACTAAACAATACTGAATCTTATTGAAATGTCAATACCGTTTGACATATAGACATAGGTAAACTACTTGAAGATCGGTTATTGTCATTTTTCAAAATTATAAATCTAATCTTTTAATGATAACTGTTATTCTTGTATGGTAAAAAAGAAAATAATATAGAGCTCACACGATACGACGTGGCTAGTATGCTATCTAAATATCTTGGAGTCTATTCTTGGTTGGGTCACGGAAGCCTACAGACAGTGAATCATGTGCTAGGAGATATATAAATATAACATAGTTTATATTCTTCAGTTATTGTTTAGATAAATTCAGTTTAAAATTGTAGTGTGTATACCAACATGTTGAGCCCACATGGTTTGTCTTAGCTTTTGGAGAAACTAGCTAACCTTTTCTGCCTAAGTCACTACTCACTCGTCTTATAACCTTGTCAAACATTCGTTCATATGTTGGTTGTTTTTGCTTGAGTGTGTATGCATCGCCTACTTCGCTTATCGCATGTCTAGTTTATTTTTATCTGATGATAAATACTTAGTCATGCTTCGTCGCATTGAGTTGACTCACTCGCCTTCTCCATTTGGCTTTGCTTGCACGATTTTCTTTCTCCTGTTTGCCTGTGTAATCGATTGCATGAAATAAATTCATCCGCGAAACCGTATTTTATTTTCTTATCACTGCCGTCGTACAAACGCGGTTCGTCTAATTATGATATACGGAAATGGGAGAGGAGATGTATTTCATAGCATATTCGACTGTTTCGTCGAAAATGGAGACCAAACACGAGCCACTAAAGTGATGAGCCCTATACTGAATTTATTGCAGCCACAAACTATCTATAAATTGTTCATTATTCTAAAACCGATTATTTGAATTAGTTAATATGCATTAAACGTTTTAAATGAATTAATCATATTTATTATGGGAATCAGAATTCAATGAATGATATTACTACGTTTACCTATTTAATTAATCAATTTTCGTGTTTTTTGTAAGAGTTCGTTTTTTTAGTGCAAATGATGCATAAATATCGTTCAGTTTGTAGTTTATGGACTAAAATTAACCACATAATTAATTAAAATAAAACCAGGAGGCATAGAACAGCTCTTACTGGCCCGCAACCTGACTTCGATTCGGACGAATGAAATGAATCTTCCCTTCAGTTTCCGTATATCATACTTAGGCGAATCCCATTTGTGTGACGGTGATAATAAGAGGTCGAATACGGTTTTGCGGATGAATTTATTTTATGCAATCGTTCACTCAGACATAAATGAGAATACGAAGTGTAAAGACAAAGTGAAATGGAGAAGGCCAACTCTATGTGATAAGACATGACTAACTATTTCTAGTCGGGCAAAAATAAGCTATGTGATAAACGAAGTAAGTAATGCACACACACTCACTCGAGTAAAACAACCAAGGTTACGACTGATAGACAAGGTCAAACGATGTGTAAATAAAACACTTGATTCAGTACATAATTGTTATACTCAACGGGAATGATTATGGAAATATATAAATCTCGTAGCATTTTTCGTGGTGCAGAAAAATATGTAGCTCAGGTGGATGATTGTGGTGTTGTTTCGCTCTCTGAGCTGGATGTTTTGGCTGTGGAGCTTGACACTCAGGTCATTCGGTAGTCAAAAAACATATCACCATTTATCCACTGTATCAGCTAATCTGAGAAACCATAGACGAACATGGAATCAAGAATCAAATCAAAGGAAAATGCAATCAAAAGAAAGATGCAGACAACAACTGGTTAAAGGTCGATGATAACCAGTCAGGATCGAGGTCGACAGAACCAGCTACGAGTCATACATGCAGAAATTCGAATACGCTTCACTTCTACCTGAAATTTGTGCAGATAATGTTGTTCAGAAGAACAATGAAAGCTCTCCTTTTGATTACTCTTACACCATTACGGAATACAGTTTGATATAAACCTTGGGAAGATATAGGTAACAAACATCTTATCTACCTATACAGTTGAATAAAATCACCTATAGGTGATGAAGGAAATATGTTTTTTAAAAGCGTTAAAACTCAAGGCAAAAATTAGACTTTTTTCAGTCCCTTTCGTGATCAATTAAAAAAAGAACGGAATGTTAGCTTCTCTATCAACCCAATCTAATACTGACTGGATTATACTTTTTATTTGAATTTCAATCGGTTCAATAAATATTGACGAATTTTTCAAGTAGGTTTATTCGGAATTTTTAATGAAATTCTAGTGAACAACCTAAAAACTAAAACACAAACATCTATAACCTACCACACATAATAATTTCCTGTCAAAACAAGTAGATATCGGGCGATTTTACTTATTTTTGCTATCTAAAACATTTTACAAAACACAAGTGAATGAATAAAATATGTTAATTTAGTTAAATTTGCTTCAGATTTTTACAACTGTATGTCCAAATCAAGAATCCCGAAAGTGACAAGATGTAAGAAAAATGAACCATTTAAATTTATTGCATGTGAATTTAGAATCATGGGTAAAACATAAACAGAATTGTTGTGTAAGATTCCTTAGCAGTGATCATTTAGACCTTGCACACGAACGTTTGACCTCTAGATCACGAAGCCAGCATACAACGGGGGTCAGGATCAAGCTTTAATCAATCCATAATTTTGATCAAGGCTTCAAACATTAGCTGCAGTGGATAACTGTTTTACGCCTGACGCAAAAGTGAACACTTACTACTTTCGGTTTCTTACTAGAACTCCAAGAGTTATGACTTGAAGCCAGACACATAGGGAATTTTATGTAGATGTTAGTATTTCGAAAAATGAAATCACGAACTGATCTTAACTAAACTTCCATTCAAACCTAGGAGCAATAGATGATCATCTCTCCTTTGTATGGGACTCTATAGCAGTGCACATCCATGACTGAGGATTTTCAATAGTGGTCTAGGTAAAATCATTTCGTGATTTCACTAGAGAAATGATTAGTATCCATTTTTAATTTGAATAAGTTTGTCACTATAAAATATTAAGGCAGGTATTCTGTTATTTTCCTGTTTTTAAACCAAGTTAACTGTTTTCGTGATAATTTAAAAAATCGATATTTTCACCTATTATTTTATATTGTAAGATGATATTACTAGGTAGTTAATCAGTAGTCGGTTAGTATTATAACAAGTAGTGCCCAGATTTGTACTTTCATGAGAATAGAAACAGAACAATTTTCAATACGGTAAATCATACTACCCCATTCGTTATTCCTATTTTCATTAACATTCAAAATGGTCTCTCATGGATGAGTTTATCATCCACCTTGATAGTCTAACAGTGAATATTCATACTAAGACGGAAGTACATTCAAATTGGATAAAACATTAATCCTTACATGTTTTCAGTGAATTAGATGTAGATTACAATGAATCGTGAATTTTAAAGACACATTTGGTGAAAAGTCACAGAACCAAAATAAACAATATGATCCGGAAGCCAATACTCATTTTAATCACTTGCGTTATAGGAAAAACAGTGATTCTATTAATAAACAGGTATTTTCTGTCAACTAGAAATGTGAAATATCACAAATTTTGGAAACACTGACTAGGCACATGAACTGATCTTATTTAGTTCAAGTATCTAAGCAATGTGTACACTATATATTATTCGTATCTAATACCTGAGTACCAATTTAGTCAGTCTGTTACTATAAATCTCATAGTCTTCGTGTGGTGCGAGCTACTTATAAGTAGTATATGACGTTTATTAAATCATGAGACAATGGATACAACTCAAGATGAAGATGTTTAGAGTGTTATGTTTTCATTGGTCAGCCTGTCATTGATTGTCTTCCTGGATAGTATTATCGACATTTACTTCGAACAGAACTAGAATGTCCACGAATTTTTTGTTTCCTCAACTGAACTCATATTATTTATGGCTATCCACGTGTATTCATATATAAGCTAACTTGTGGTATTTAACGAACCAACTGAAGCTGATTGCAGGCAAATAAAGAGACGGTGGCCAAACTTTGTCTCATATAATTTTTGCTACAATGTTTGTTATTTAAATTTATCTTGAAGATGAAGAATTAAACTACTAAGCGGTGCTTGCTGGTTTCTGTAATTGATTTCAATCATAATGTAAATGACTTTCAGAAATACTGAATCCACTTTTCAAAATGATTAATATCAATGAATGTAAGTAAATATAACATTTTTAAAAGTTAGATTTTTGGAAGACGTTTATTCACTAACAGCTCTGTCTGTACTGTGAAAAGTTGTGTCGATTACCCCTTAAGAATCAATAAAGACTGATTTTTACTTTGAATATTTTTTGAAGACTTAAAAGTAAAGTTGTTTATTCATTCATTAGAACACAGGATACAGTTGTTTAAATCAAATTTGAGTACCGTTTAACAGTTAAATACAAGAAACATGTTTTAGTTCGTTTCAGGACTAATCATTACCACAGAATACAGTGGATAGCTCGGATTTAGCTGGACAGTTAGGACTTCGCGGACGACCTAGTAAACGTAGATGAAAACGGTCAGAGATGTATCAGCCTCTGTAGCAGTAGGCCTTAACATACACAAGGGAAGAAGCGAGATCCTTCGATGCAACACAGCATGGAACAACCAAATCACATTTGACAGACAGGATTTGAAAGATGTAGTTAGCATCGTTGATAAACAAGGTGCTGATTTAAGGACACGGATTAGCAAATTAAGTGCAGCATTTCCACAAGTGAAGAACATCTGGAATTCAAAACAGCTATCAACCAACACCAAAGTGTGAATTTTCAATACAAACGTTGAAACTGTCCTGTTGGATGGTAAGGAAACTAGGAGAATTATGAAAACCATCATTTAAAAGATTTGGTTGTTTATTAACAGTTATCTACGCAAGATACTGAGGAGTCGATGGTCAGACACCAGCAGCAACAACCTACTGCGGGAGAGGACAAATCACGTTCTAGTCGGGGAATAAATAAGGAAAAAGCACTAGAAGTGGATAAGATGCTCATTGTGGAAAGCACCTAGCTTCATTAGGAGGCGAGCACTCATCTGGAATCCTCAAATTAAAAGGAACAGATGGAGACGAAGCAACACATTACGCTAGGTATTGGAGACAGACATGATAAGGATGAACAACAATTGGATAGAACTAGAAAGGCATACCCAGGACAGAGTAAGCTGGAGGATCCTGGTCGGCAGCCTATGCTATATATTAGGGGTGGCAGGTATAAATAAGTAAGTAAGGACTCATCAGTTGGATGTACCATTGTGGATACTGACACTAAAACTCCGCATAAAATATATTCCACCGAGCTACTATATTCAAGATTGCATGACTGATCTAAATCTGACTTTTACGAAACACTTTGATTCGAACGCACATATGCAGATAGAGACTGAAGTCCTTAATTTGACTAATGCAGTTGTGTCAGCTTCCTGAAACATCCTTGAAACGATAGTAATCATTAGCAGAGGTGGATAGTGGCTAGCAGTGAATCGCGTTTCATCCTAATTGGGACTTGTCTGTAGCTGTGATTTCAGTGTAGCGTAATAAGTTCGAAATTGTTCAAAGTCAATTATTTCCACACAATTCTAAAAATCAACATTGACATTGTCACTCATATATTTGACAATGGACACATTGTTAAAAAAATTCGTCGACCTTATAATCTCAGCTTTTATGAAATTTACTACGAAATAAGAACAAGAATCGGCATTTCACATTTTCTTATCCAAGTGTTTGAGATGAACATATAAAATGATGAATACACTTAAAAATAACACAAGGTAGGAATTTGTTAATCTGTTTCTGTCTCAATCAAAAATTTGTTTGATACAGCAAAACTAGTTTATCGGCTAGATATATCCTCTTCAGCGAGGCACTTATTGTGGCTAGTTATTTCATCATCTTTGAAGCTAAGATATAAAATGTATTGATTATTTCTGGACTTTAACAATTCCTATTCCTTACTTGTTTGTCTACTCATAATGACTGGTAAACGTTTTGAATTATAGTTTCAATAACCATGAATAAATAGTGCTTGCTGGACTACTGAAACTATTGAAATTCAAATAAAATCGAATATAAGTTTCTTTTCGATGAAAATCGATCACTTTGTACATTTTCTGAAAACATGTCTTCACATGTTTTCTTTCTCAGAGTTGTACACATTCAATAACATAAGTATTCATTCTTGTGTACTAGTTTATCATTCATTATTGTATATCTCATCACTAATTTAACATAAATTTGATCTGTCTACAAATTATAAATAATCATTGTTATTGTTTTGTGGTGTGAGCTACTTATAAGTATTATATGACGTGAGCGTCAACGTACTGTCTGGCGGGGTAGATCAAGAAAGGAAGAGTTAGAACACAATAGAATTTGTATGAAACGCATGAATAGTGACAATGGATTGATGTTTTGCAACAGGAACAACAGTCCAGTTCGATATGATGAACTGATATTTTGCAAATAAACGATTTACGATATGGTTTTCCAATTTTACTGTATAACTCTGTAATTTTCGTCAAATACAATCCGGTTGCCGCACCTGTGTTCTCGTTCACTACAGTTTTATCCTCTTTGCAATTGAACAAAAATTCACAAAGCAAATTAACCATAGTTTATCATATTATTGAATGTTTGAATTACGCTACACTAAATGTATCATCACATTAAAATAAAACAATTAATTATCTTTGAATAGAAATCTTTTTCATATTATTTAATCGGGGTACACTCTTTAATTTAATTGATTTGCAAATATATGAATATCACTTCATTTAAAAAAAAAAATAGAAGTGATATTCACTTGTTGAATTTAATTGTTTAAAAAGGATTAATCATCATCAGATAATCAGTTGAACATTGACTATTTGTGATGTATTGTAGTTCATGTTCTTTTCTTTTGTTTTTATTTTTCAATCATTTTTGATAAATAAATTTTTAACGTTCGTTATTTATAATAACAACATAATTTTATTGTCAGTTTGAACTTTTTACTACTGTCATAATTTTAAGTAATAGTCTTTAATTAGTAATCAAATGTTCAATACACGTGGGTCTATATAAAGGTGTGTCCGTGTGTTTGAACATTGAAATACGTATGTATATCTATATATAATACACATATATGATGTATTTAGTTAAGTATGAATCAGTGTTTTAAACATGCTTTTTATTTTTTATTATTGAAAAGAGATAATTTGATTTAGGTCAGAAGAAAATACATATAATTTGATTGAGTTGCAAAATTTTGAAAATAAAAATGATTAATCAAGCTTACAGCATAAAAATCTATTGATTAAGATATGAGAGATCATGATGAAGATTAGAAAGTTTAGAGAGAAAAAATTAATGCCTTTCAAAAGTATCGGATTAGATTTATTTGATACTTGAATCAATATGGTTGCTTGTCATGAAACTAGTAATGTTTTCTTTTCAAGTTTATTTTTTAGAATAGTCAACAAATAAAATGTATCATTGAAATCATGAATGCAATCATTGCTAGATCAGCGTTCAAAACCTGGAACCACTGGTTGGTCGTTTCATCCTTAGTTAGACGTTAACCTTGTTGGATGCCGTTTCAGTGATCAAGAGGTTAAGCGTACTCTCTTTGGGTTCGATTTCCGCGAGTGAGGGTTGTGGATTAGCACTTTTTACGAGTCCCATACTAGGACGAAATGGCGGTTCAGTGCTTCCAGGTTTCAAATGACAGTCTAACACTGATCGATTAATGGTTCCGAACAAACGTATTTGGACTGTCACAATCCACTCAAATAAACTGGATGAAATATTAAATGTTCCTAATTAGTTACATAATTTTACGGATGGCTTTCAATTTGTTTGCTGTGGTTACCACCTGTCTATCTATCTGCCTGTCTGTCTCTCCGTCGGTCTGGTGTTCGTTTGTCTCTCCTACTAAAACTCACTTAACATAGAGTTCATCACTTATTATTGAATACATTTGATATCATTAGCTTACCAGGTGTTTTTTGAAGATTCAATTCTAACAGAAACTAAAATCACATTTGTTTTTCATTGATAAAAATGTAGTGTTAACTATAATTTATTTAAAAACGAAATCAGTATAATAACATTTAAATAATAAATAATTAATAAATCATTATGTTGGTTAAATGAGATTGTTTACTTAATAATTGAAAACTGATTTGGTACGAACAACTTCTTTTGGGTAAGTTGAATCTTCCAGATCTATTAAACGATGAATGAAGATGATTTTATTTTTCTTACATAACTAACTGTTAAATATTCAATTTCTCAAATATTCATGTTTTTTTTAAATTGTAAGCGTTCATTTGACTTGTTAACTGTAGATATAATACCTGAATACGTCGAAATTATCGTTGGTTAATCATTGACTCATTCCCATGTTTTGTATCAATTTTTGAATTATTTGTTATGATGCACGATGCTCGAGATGTTAAAGAGGATCAGTTCCAATCTCTCAAACTGGCTGCCAGAGTGTTGAGGATGTTAGATCCCCAGAATTCGCTTGATAAATATCTTTATTTTGGATTTATTTCATGGACCGATCAGTTGACATTGAGATCACATTTCCTAACAGGAAAATCCTTGGCTGTGATTAGTTACTGTGTCATTTTAGTGTGCTATTTTTGTGACTGTCCCAAGGACGTCTCTATACAGTATAAATAAACGCAATGTGAGTGCTTGCATTCATTGTTTGCTGGCTGCGCGTTTGTAGAATACACTTTCTACACTATATCAAGACTTCTTGTTGATTCAATTCGGTCAAAGGATCACAGTAGCTACCTGGTTGCTGGTTCATTGTTTTGTTCTCGTTATTCGACTAAGGTGAACTCCTAATAGTTTAAGCATACCTAGAGACGAGATTATAACACAGAGCAAGAACACAAAGAGCACAATTGGTCTATCTTATCACCAGACAATATGAACGAATACTCGTCTACATGTATATATTCACTTCCTTGAAAAGAAAAAGCCATTTCTTAACCAATGATATGCATTCATTCATTTAGAACATTTTGTGAAGATCATCCAATGACAGGCTTTCTCATTATTTATTTATTTCTGATTCCATATTTTTATCGCATTATGACTGTTCAATTAATGTACATATAATCCAAGTGTTTTTTTTTGATCGGTCATAATAATACAATAATGAATGGCTTATCGATCGGTTCTCCATCTTTAAGATTAATAATAGAAGGAACTATGTTATGTCGATAACTCTTAAAATTTCCAATCACTTTAAGTGATCAGTTAGTTATGTTGGTTGTTGAACGGAAGCTTGTTAGTCCAATCAATGGCTTAGGGGAATTCAATTCTCAAGTAACACTAATATAAGTCTGGTGACATTGACAATTATCAAACACATAAATAATATTTATTACAGTTAATTACAAAATAAAAAGAATTTCAGTGATAACTAAAAAGCTAAATCACAGAATTTTTAAGAATTTTTTCTGAAAACAAATAAAGCCATTACATTCATTTATTTCACTGTTTAAATTCATTGTATTTTGTGTAGTTTGTTTAAATTATTGACCGAATATATAGTATTTTGTTCAATTTTCAATGCTTTAGCTAAACGTTCTTTCTTCCAATAAGCTTTCATATAGAAATTTAAAAATAATATAAAAAATAACAAAGCATAGATGCATACAACTGCTGGAAATATTTTAGGAAAATTACATTTACTTGGAAATATAAGAAATTGTCCTTGATGTATAATAAACCATAAGAATTGTAACATTTGAATAAGAGTAACATAATTTTTCCACCATAATAAACGATAAACACCAGCTGCTGCCAATCCATAATAAGTATACATAATAATATGAACAAAACTATTAACTAATGGGAACATATATAGTAGACCACCTAAAAAGCAAAGAAAATGATGAAGAGAATTTTAAGTGAAATATAATCTCAGTTACCTTAGATATACATGTTCAATACATTTGGAAAGTGTAACTGTAATGTAATAATGTTTCATGGAATAAAGATTCTTTAAACAATATCTAGAAGTTTTCGGGAGTTGGTGATATGTGAGCCTCATGTGTATGAACGTAACCGACTATGTGATCGAAGTAATGAGGAGAAAGTTTTTATTTATAGAATAAAGCCATAGACAATGTCACATTGTTTGACGGATTTCTAATTAACCAAATATATTGTAAACTGTTAAGTATCTGTATTAAAAAATTGCTTGCTAATGGAATTTCCGCCTCATAAGTTATATAATGAACTAAGTTTGTCAACATTTGAATAATACAGTTATTATTTTCTGTCTTTTTGAATGGGATAAGCTTACAACAACTAGTTTCACACTGTTCTCACAACAACATTATCGACTGTAATCTAATCGTCAGGAGAATTTCGATAATATTGATAACTAAAGCCCAACACTACACATTCATATCTGGGTTCAGAATCCAAGACATTCGACTTTCAAACATTAAGTTGTAGTTCTCAATTAGAGTTATGGAGATTAGTGTTTTTACACACTTGAAATCATCAACCAATCATTGTTAGACCACCATTAGAAACCTGGAAGCACTGAACGGCCGTTTCGTCCTGGTATGGGATTCATCGGCAGTGTGTTTGCGCACAATACCGAAGGTCCCGGGTTCGAATCCTGCGTGGTGCAGGAGTCGTGGATGCGCACTACTGATGAGCCTCATACCAGGACGAAACGGCCGTTTAGTGCTTCCAGGTTTCTAATGGTGGTCTAACAATGATTGGTTGATGATTTCAAATGATTAAGTTGTAGGTTCGGATACCATTCCGTTTCGTTTAGTTTGATCAACCCTTTCACTGACTGTATGACATAACATCAAGTACACACTAATTCACTGCTGATAAACGAATTAACAACAGTAATATTCAAAATTACACTAATCAGCATAATTCATTTCTTCGTCGTGATTAGCCAGGTCAACCGTGACCATTTCACTTATCACATGTAACTGAAAATCAATATCCCAATCAAATGTAATGCAACTTCATGTTTGACATTTTTCAGTACATACATATGCAACCAATAAAAAATCATTCAAAGGTTTCTTAAACTATCATAATCCTATTTTTTTATAATTAGTTTTCACTAAATTGATCGACTGAATTGAAATCACGAACTGACTACAGGAATCATTGTACAGATACTTCATCCTGTATGGTGACGAAAAATAAAGTATTTATCCTAACAATGTCAAATCAGGTCACGTCAGCAGCAATCTAGAACTTCGTACGTACGTGCATCAGTACAAGTTACCCTAGCACATTAGCACACAGATGCAAATGTCACTTCAAATCCCAGAGTAGTAGAGGTAGTAAAAGTATTAGCACTATTCCTAAGAGAATAGGGTTCCAGGATATTATTCAAGGAGAAGAATCTAGTGAAATAAACTTAAAAAGAAAAAGATAAAAGTGATGAGGAGCTCAAAAGTTTAGGATTTGTGAGAACACAAGGAATGAGAGCACCTGCGCCATTGCAAACGGTTTTGAGCCATGTCATTTAAGGGCTCTAACCATCGATTTCTATCATCTCGTGGGCATCCTAACAATGTTAAACATTTTGGTGAACATCATGTGAAGGTCATTTCTATCGTACATTTAATACGGTAAAAATAATATACAGTCATTCATTTTTAAAAAATCTTGAGCTACTTTTCTTGAAGTAGTTTTCTAGTTTTTAAGTGACTTGTTCTCATACTGTACTTTAACCGTGAAATGTTATTAAGAATTGTTTTAAAGTGCATTCGTCGTTCAAGTATCGGACAGTGTAAAAATTGTCAAGAAAGTCAGTATCTCAAGTGTTTGCATATATTATCATATTTTAGAAGCGTGTGGTATAAAAAATATCACTATAAGTAATTGTAGCTTAAGAAACGTTATTTTTCTCATTCGGTATTAGAAGTATCAATGATATTAAGTGTGCTCAAACATTGAAGTTGCATACATACATACACCTGAAGTTATATAATTCTTTAGTAGTAAGAACAGAGACGTTCGTATCATTTGATTTGATAATTCAGTCCATTCAGACTAGAAAAATTTTATATAGAACAGATAATAATGGAATCCCGAGACGCGCGTTTTGTCCTATTTGGGACACATCTGCACTTGGGTGTATTTGCATCTCAAAGTTGGTATTTAGCTGGGACTGGAATCTAATACTTTATCGTAGCTAAGTGAGTAACATGATGGCGTTTGAAGCAAACGGTACAGCGTTTGAGTCGCGTAGTGATCATTAACTCTGAGCTGCGGGTAGATCCAATTACAGACGAATGCCAAGTAGGATTAAACGAGCTTCCTGAGTTCCACTGGCTAATCACTTTCTATCTAGTGTTATAATGGTTATATCAAGATAATCCGCATAGGATGCGCATATACCAACCAAGGTTGGTCGAATTTCATTCAAAATATCAACAACGGGATAACCCAAACTATTTCAATTCGAATTAAAACAATTTTGTTTTAATGATGTCTAACTAATTATTCTAACTGATTTCATCTTCGATTAATTTATTGTGAGTTGTGACTAAACTATGTTTGCGCTTAATGAATAATATGAGTTAAAATAATGTTTACTTTTCTACAATAAATGATTGATCAGAAAATAATGACTGGTGTCGTAATTATCAAGTGCCTGAAGTAATGGTTAGACTTCGAAATTCAAGTTCCAGTTTAACCACTTGCTTAAGTAACTTGACCCATGACGTGCACCATTTTGAGATGCTGGGTGATTGGTTGTGGTCGACAAATAATCCTGTTGAATCTATGTTTCGCGCTAGTTGGTCTTTGTCAACAAAGTATACCTTAGAGATTGAGGTGAATGATACTTACTTACAGATTTGGACTTGTATCACCCAATTTCATTGTTGAGTAGAGATTAACTGCCTGTGAGACTGAGATGTATTAACAATCGATTGATTAATAAGTAGTGACTAGTATAATTTTTTAAAAATGATCGAATTCTAAATTCGGTTTGATTTTAAACAATTATTTATTAATCTTAGAAGAGTAGTAATTCCAAAAATACCTATCATAATACAAATTTAATTGATCTGCATGTGTCAACACTAAAGTTCAATTTGATATTTTTAGACAGATTGAGCATTGAACAAATTGTTAATGATAAGAACAAATATTTATATTCTAATCAGTAGAAGATTAGATTTTCTTACATATTATGACTCAGAGAATAAATAAATAAACATATTACTTAAATATGGAGGGATTTATGGGGGTCGTAGAATTTTCAAAGTTTAAATCACTAAGTTATCTAAGCTGGACCATCATTGAAAGCCCATAATCACTGAACCGCCATTTCATCCATGTACGAAACTTCACAGTGGGCTGAGCGTATCTATAACTCCGATATGCTTGTGTCGATGGGTGTGAAAAATGTGATATTTTTTATGTGAAAAGATTTGGTTTAATATGTATATTTGATAGCGGCGTGAGATGTGAAATAAATTGAAAATGTTGCCTCCTCCTCAAGCCCTTCTGAAGCTACTGCCGGTCCAAAGCCCGGAGAAAGGAGGAGTGTTGGGCATGTGGTTAGCGATCCCATCCTGTAGAAAACTACCTTGCTAAAAAACGCCAACCGCCAAAAATGATTCAAACCATTTAAACTCTGCCATGGTATTTAGAAGGTCTTCATTTAGAAGAGTTATGAAATCTCATAATAAAAGCCGAGTTCCTTTGGAAGTCACGAGGCCAATGCTCCTTCTGACAACCAGAGGAACCATTATTTTAACAGTTTTCTGCACAAGATACTGAGGATCTTTTAGCCGGAAACTATCAACAACAACCTAGTGAGGGAGAAAGCAAACCAGACCACAACTGAGTAAGAAATCAGGAAGAAATTCTGAAAGTGGATAAGTCACACATTGAAGAAAGCACCTAACTGCGTCACAAGACAAGCCCTCAGCTGGAACCCTCAAGGTCAAAGGAAAAGAGAAAGATCAAACAACACATCACGCCGAGAAATAGAGAAAGACATGAGAGGAATGAACAAAAATCGGACAGAACTGAAAATGAAGTCCCAGGACAAAGTAGGTTGGAAAATGCTTGTCGGTCTCCTATGCTCCATTGGGAGCAACAAGCATAAGTAAGTAAACAAGAAAGCTTTGATAAATAGTTTCAGTTGAATGGTTGATAAATTCCTTTTGCGTAATCACTCTTACAAAGCTCCTCTTCAATCTAGTTACACAATATTAATACTTGAAAAAGAACATATATACAACAAATTGTTAAGTAATAAATCTCTATAACTTACCAGGTGCATATTTTAAACCCCACCATACTGATGGTGGCATTGATGCATGATGAAATACATGTAAAAATGTGACTTGATCAACTTTACCACGATATAAGAAAAACACCGTGTCCATCATTTCAATAAATTTTGAAATAAAATATAAATAACCATAGTATACTAAACCATCAGTACGTTTATCATTTGGATTTGGTAATTCAATACAACCGAAACCATAACCAAGTTGACGTATTAAAATTAAACTAGATATTGATAAATACGTGGAGAATAGTACCATACTAAAGTTATAAAACACCATAGAATATGTTATGAATTGTGTTCCGCTTGATTTTAATTTCATTCCTTGTAAATTAAATCGTCGAATTAATTCCATACGCCAAATATACACACCTAATGTGTAAACTAACGAAATAAGTGCAGTTGGTGTCCATGTTGACATTAATGGATAATTTGAAAGTCTTGGATCAGGTTCAGGTGGTAGAAGTTGTTCAGCAAGCCAATAACTTAGATTCCTAAACATTAGAATATTTCTGCGCTTAAACAAAATTGAAATTTCAATTTGATTGTAAACAAGACTGGATCAGCTTATTATGATAGAAAAGTGAAATTTCGAATTATACATCATTATCTGTTGAGGTTTTTCCTTCTCTCTGTAAACTGCATCAAACAAACTCTTGAATCAATAAGTTAATAATCGAAATGGATAGACTCAAAAGAGTTAGTGAAATATATATAGAAAGGAAAAAAAAGCAATGAACGATTCGTTCGTTATATCCTATTCTGATTGGATAATTAGTTAGTTTTTCTTAAATCCTATTGACCAATTATAATTTCGATTTATTCATCAGTTATATGTCATGTCAATGTAATAGGAGGCAGTCCATGACAAGGTCACAGGATAGACAAATAAGCTTTGTTATGATTTGTTCGAGATTTTTTGAGGTACATTTATAAAAAAAAGTGATTGCCATGCCAAAATTAAGGGACTGTATTTGAGTAGTGGGATCATTTCGGGATTTAGTAATTTTTCTAAAATGTTTGGAGAATTCAAAATGTATTCTATCCGGAAAAATGATTCTATAAACTTCAGTGTATAATGATTTGATCTGTAGGGTTGATTGTCGAGCTGAGTGACTTGAGATTTGATCTCATAGTGTATCTCATTCCCTTCAAGATCATAATCACAGCACTGTTTGTAAGTGCTAAATACTCCTAAGCTTAGGTCTAGAATTCTTGTAACTCATAACATCTAACCATCTGATTTGGTAAGTTATTTAGTGAATTTAAACCTTATTCCTAAAACATTGACAACTCTACAAGTTTTGAAAAATTTAAGACAGTAGATGGTTTAAATTGGTCATTCATCATCAATTATTGCGTTGATGTTTTTCAGTTTACTAAATATACCGAATATTTCAAATACCATTCATACAGCTGGTTTACCGTATCAAAAAGTGAACTGTATGACGTTTGGCCTGATGAATTGTGAAAAATATGATGAAGTGAAAATCGTCTATGAAAAATAAATCATCGTCTCTTGCTCAGTGATCCAAAGGTTAAGCGTTCGCGCACAATACCGAAGGTCCCAAATTCGAAACCCTGCGAGGTGTAGGAGTCGTGGATACGGACTACCAGTGATGAGTCCCATACCAGGACGAAACGGCCGTCCAGTGCTTCCAGGTTTCTAATGTTGGTCTAACAATGATTGATTGATGATTTCAAATGAACAAACATAAAAAGACAATTGATTTAGCACTAAACGTACACACTTATAGTACAAAATATTTTATATAAATGTCAATATGATGAGAACTCACTTAAAATGCCATAGACCATGAGATACAAATGTTGAAAATCGATAACCAGCTTATAAGTTTTTTCTTACCATTATTATCTTTTATACGAATTGTTTTCATGTGAGAATATTTTTAAATCTCATCATATTAAAAAGCATAATTCTTTTTGAAGAAATGAAATGTTAAGAGTTCCCTAATGCATTTTCTGATATCTTGTAAAAGTTTTTATATTAGTTTAATTCACCACTGTATGTCACTAACTGAAAGAAGTATTTCTCGAACTTTCCATCTTTTGAAAATTTGATATTATAACAAGAGAATATGCAATCAAAGAGAAACTTCTTTCTGAATTATTTTTTTGGTAGAGCTTACTATTTATTTTAACACATGAGCATTAGTAAGTACATTAAAGATGTCAATGATTTGTCAGTAAAATGTAGATTATGACATATTAAATATGACATATATATGAGATTTACGTTGTCGATCAATCTACAATTTACCTGAACTGATGGGTTGAAATCACCAACCGACCAATGTTAGACTACTATCAGAAACATAGAAGTATTAGATGGCTGTTTTGTCTGAGAATGTGCTTCGTCAGTGACAGAGAGAATCGATCACTCCGTACGTAGGAATTGAAACTAGGACTTTCAGTCTCGTATACGAGCACTTCATCTCAAAGACCACTGACCCGGTATCCAACAGTGTTAATGCCTATTTTCAATCAGTGTGCGTGCTACATCGTAGATGCTCACTGCTAATGAGTCTCGGGCTGGGACGAAACGGCTGTCTAGTGCTTTCATGTTTCTAATAGGCGTCAAACACTGATTGATTCCTGATTTCAATGAATTAATATCAACTCTGAAATTTCAAATAAGCCAAAAGAGTAATTTCGAATAGATTTACATGGATTCATTTAAAATTTAATCATTAATAATTCAAATACATTTAATTAAATTAAACAATTATAGTTAAAAAAAATTTTTTCTGTTCATCATTACGATGTTACAGTAATCATACTTTAAGTACTTTTACCATTTTATTGAACTTTTCGAAATCTATATATATTTTCAGAGTTTTATTTGTTTGAGAATGTTTTCTAGTGACTAAGTATGTGAGAAAATTCTCGAAGCCATGACTAGTGTGTAGGCAGTAACTACCGAAGACAGTTGGTGAGGTTACACAACACCTTAGGTTGGTCAGAGTTAGACAACACCGCTATTGGATATAGGCTTAGTTGTCTAGGGTCTAGGCATTATCGTGAAAGACTGAAGGTCCTGGTGTAGTGAAGGAGATTACAGGTGAGGGCAAACGAATTGTATTTAACGAAAATTACAGAGTTACTCATTAAAATGGGGAAACCAAATCGTAACCGTTAATTTGCAAATTTTCAATCCATCATCAATCCATAGTCTGACAGTTCACTATTCATGCGTTTCATACAAATTCCATTGTGTTCTCACTCTTCCTTTCTTGATCTTCCCCCATCTTCTGCTGCCATACATTACGTTTACACGCGCGTCATATACTACTCATAAGTAGCGCGCACCACACTGGGTTCGATTCCAGCAGGAAGATGTCATGCATGCGCACTGCTGATATGTCTCGTATTTGGATGAAACGGCTGCTTAAACCTCCAGGTTTTTAATTGTAGTCTAACAATGATCAATTCATGATTTTAAGTGCAAAACAACTATCTCTATAGCTCTGTGATGAAAATCCTTTTATGTTTGTTTGTTTTGAATTTGATCTAGCAATGTAGAAATTTAATAGGACAATTTTCCAAAGTCTTCTTTTTCTGGCTTTTCAATATATTGTATCAATATTATTATTATTATTATTATTATTATTATTATTATTATCAATTGTGGGTAGTTAACCATTGTCAAAATATATGAGAAATCGGTTGAGAATACGAATAAGTAGATGCAGATAGTACTAAAACGGTCTTTTCAAAATATTATCCTTAAAATTGACATTTTTCAAATTGGTGTTAATTTAGCAGGTAAGTAGATGTTTTATTACTGTTTAATTCTTAAATATATGTAGTATAGTGTGTATACAAATAGGTTGAGCTAACAGGGTTTATCCCAGTTTTTGGACACATCTTTCGATCTTGCCAATTATCTGATTACATCTTAGTTGTTTTTTTGCCACTGTGTATTCGCATACTTACTTTCCTTATTATATGTCTAGCCTACTTTTGTCTGATTATAAATATTCAGTCTTGCTTCATTGCATTGAGTTGGCTCACTCTCCTGCTTCATTTCACTTTGCTTTACTTGTACATTTATCACTGTCTTGTCTGTCTGTTTTGAATGAATGTATGAAATAAATTCATTCGCGAAACCGTAGTTGGCATTTAATTAATACCGTCGCACAAACAGAATTCACCTAAGTATGATATACAGAAATTAAAGAGAAGATATAATTCATAGCATATCTAGCCATTGATACAAACTGAAGTTAGATTATTATCGGGCCATTAAACTGACGACCTACACTTCGAATTCAACTCAGCCGCTAATGTTAATTTTAATTATTAACCATTTTTTACTTCTGCTAGTTATGTTACATTTCTGGGTTTTATTCTGTTATCGAAAATTTCTATTTACAAGGTAAACAAAATTGAAGATAAAATTATAGTTGAAGGGCAGGTTTAAAACAATTACTACAAATTTGTTACAACTAGTTTCTCAAAATTCTGAAAATAGTTTTTATATGTGGGCACTGTGTGGAAAATAAAGTGTTAATTTTTCACAATGTGAATAGACGTTGCACAACTGATAATTCTATTATTGTATTCTACAGATTACACAGCACGTGAAAAGAATTGACCTGTAAATTCAATCTTATGGATACATATTATTGGTCTCCTTGAACCTGAATGGAGATACAAATCGACTTTTAAAAGTTCTCACATTTTTTCTTGATCATACCTAGGATTTTCATCATGGTCTGCTATCAGCTGTAATACAGATTCCATATAGAAAACTGAATTTTTCTTGTAGTGGAATACTTTTATGAAGAGAACGCGATTGGTGAAATGGAAACATTTATTATTGTAACCAGTTGTACTGTGGTGCGTGCTACTTATAAGTAGTATATGACGTGAGTGTAAACGTAATGTATGGCAGCAGAAGATGGGGGAAAATCAAGAAAGGAAGAGTGGGAACACAATGGAATTTGTATGAAACGCATGAATAGTGAACTGTCAGACAATGGATTGATGATGGATTGAAGATTTGCAAATTAACGGTTACGATATGGTTTTCCTATTTTACTGAGTAACTCTGTAATTTTCGTTAAATACAATTTGGTTGTCCTCACCTGTATTCTCCTTCACTACAGTACCAGTGATTGTTTTATTTTAATCCTTTGTTTAACTGTACTAAAAACAATAATAGCCCACATCACGTGTCGCTGAAATTGCTCGGTTGCCTCGGTGGTTTCCTCTACGTTCTTATTGTGATCTCGATATAATTTCAATATCGCGAGATCATCAATAAATATACCTCGACCTCCAATCACAGCTGGTCTCAAAAACACAAGAGGTACTTTCTGTTTAGTTGGCCCGAAAATAGTGTTCTTGGGATAAGGTGTGTTTCAAAACTAGAGCTTTAGGGGTCATGCATTGTAATCTAATTCCTTGCACATTCGTTACTATGATTGGCTCATCTGTATGCTATAGTTTTGCCGCTCAGAGTTTTGATATAATACTTGTATATGATTAGTTAGCAGATACAAAAGGACACCATCATCAGAGGGAAAAGCGATCCTACTTTCTATGCACTTTGCATCGAATTATTACTCTTTTTAATCCGTTTGGTCTTGAGAAATATTTGCAGTGGTTCGTTGAATAGCCTGATCTTCAACAATTTTTTTCAGCCATAAGTTGATTGATTGTTAGTCAAATATTGTTTCATACTACTGTGGATTCTTTTGTTCTGCTGTGTGTTGACTTGGATATTCTTCGAGTAATTTTAGCATCTTAAATATGCTAATGTTAATGTTTATTCGTAATTTTGTAACGCCCTCCTGACATGTCGGTCGCCATCTTGTTTTTAGTGCTCTGTACTTCGCCCATTTCCTTGACATGTTTCGATATTCTTTCGATACCGATCTGGAATCTTTAATTGGAGACCAAATCATCGATGTTCGCGAGGTTTTTCTTAACCGCAATCCAGCCGATGTCTACGATAGTCGAAAGGAGGCTATTCTTAGATATTTTCTTCCATCCAGGAAGGAACGATTGAGAAACCTATTCGCACTCACCCTTTGGTTGATGCTAAACCACTTGTCATCTCGCTCGCCTCCACTTATTGGCAAGACCTGCAACAGCGAATGCTGATGTAGTCAGAGAACTGTGGCCAGAAGCACTACCAGTGCATCCACAGACAACGAGTACTGTACTACTCGAGGACACGCCACTCACTAAAGTGGCTCTCATAGCAGATAAAATCATCGTGAGGACCAGCATTGAGGACAATGCTTTAGTTGCCTCAACATCACATCCAGGCACGGATCTTGACGCTAGTCATCGCCCAGCCCAAATACTGTATCCAAAGTCGTCCTAAATTTCGAGACGCCTGATGTCCCGGTAACGCACGTCCCTCAATCAAGATCGCTCCGGGCTGTAGCTCCAGCTCGCCCCAAGTGAGCATCTTCAAGCCGTGCCAAAAGGCAGCTGAGGAATCAAGCACTGGTTATTGCTGGTTTAACCTTGCCTTCGGCTCGGTGCTCGTCGTCATTGAGCTCCATACAAGGTGGGAAACCCCAAAGCCGACGAGTAAGTGTGGTCGTTCCCGCCGGCCCTTCACCCCAGGTTGAAGGTTCATCTTACGTGCAGGATTACGCATTAACACGATGTACCTAATTGACACAGGTAGCGGCAAGTCTCAATCTACGTCGCTCGTGCCACGCGCTGCAAATATTACCGTCGTTTTTACCTATGGTTTACGAGCTTTAAATATCAATCTTAGTAACCGACGACAGTATTTCTGGACGTTCATCGTTGCTGATGTTCTCACAGCCATACTCGGTACTGATTTCCTACGCTTTATGAATCACCAGTCGATTCACGCTGACCGGCGACGGAAGACTTAGCTTCTAACAAGTGCGAGTTTGACCCTTTACTTCCTTTCTTCTCACAGTACTTGAGTCTCCTTTGTTTATATGGTTAGCAAAAACGATGGTGTTAGTTAGAGACCATGCACTAACCACAGGGCATCAAAGGCATATACTATATGTTCAACCGCTGAACTCGTATATGGCATGACATTGCGTCTGTCTGGGGAATTTTTCATTCCACGGAGCAGTGATTCTTTTAAAATATCAGATTACGTCCTACGACTATCTGTGTAGATGAGAACACTGAAAACTTGAATACAACAACGACAAGCCCCTCTCTATCGAGAGTTTTTCACCTGTTCATATGTTTTCATACTAGAAGACCCGGTACCTAAACGGCAGCAACAGCAGCAACACGTGGTTCCCTTCAAGGTTAACCGATATGGCCAGGTCGAGATCGTTAGCAAAGATCTTCTCAAACCAGCACATGTCTATGGCAGTACGTTGTTCCGTAAATATAAATTCAATGCCATATCCGTCCAACTCACTGGCGTGTTCCCAATTTCTCCTTCGTGTCTCTCGCCAGATACCTCAGAGTCCGCATTCTGATGTCCCATTAAATAGCACCCGTCATATGCGCGGTTTACGGATGACACTGCAGTCTCATCTAAAGATCAGCAGACCACGCCGTTCTTGAATTCGGAAGAGATTGCAGTCCCAAGCACTCAACCACGAGGTAGGCGTGAGACCATAGTCTCGCGTTCAGGTCTCCAGGTACTTGGAGCTTCCCTTTTTCGCAACCATAGTTTTGCTACTTCTTTTTTTGTTGTTTTGGGACTTATTTTACCCTGGGCTAACGCCTCCCACCATCGCCTTTTCGGGACCTTCGACTTCACTCGAATTTGGCTACGGCGGGTCTGATCACCCACACCTCGGTCAATGTACTTGGTAGACATCCTGGTTCGGACTACGTCTGGCGTACGTATGACCCCAAATCTGGTTATCATGGTCGCTTCTGGTTTTCCAGCTTTACATTTCTGATATCCATTTTAATATTCTCATATGGAAAGTTATTACGGACAAAGCATTGTCAAGCCTTGAATATCCATGACAGCTTCACAAGAATTGTATTTCTCATTCAAGAACTATGCTAAGCAAGTGGTGTTTCGACAGTCTCAAGTGACCAAATGTTTATTGTTGCTTTTCATCCAAGATAAAAGTCCAGAACATAGCACTCGTCTAGCTTAACGTAAATTCACTAAAATGCAACCGTTGAGCTAACCACATGACTGGTGCGGTTGAACCAAGTCGCTAAGCTTGGAAAACGTAACAGCATTCACTACCGACTATTCGGGCTCAGTTAACAACCCGGATTGTTGCAATAATTTTTTACTTTGTAACCTGTGTTTACATTACAATAATGAAGCTTATCTATTTTCAGTCATCTAGGAACTTTATTTCATAACTGCAGAATTAAATCTGAGAGTTTGGCCTACACTAGCAGGTAAACCTTTATGCAGTGGATGTCTCGCCCAGAATTCTCATAATCATAGAAGACTATGTAGAATTTACATACCCAAAATATGACGGGTCATCCAAACACTAGTAAATCGATAGACATTAGTTTAGGTACTATAGTGCTAATGTATAGATTCTGATATACCCATAAAATACAAAGATAATCTGAGTTGCTTTGGGATGTCAGATTTACGGTCTGATTTGTGATCACGATTAAAATATAAATGTCTCTTTCCAAGTAGGGCAAGGTATCATTCAACTAAAGTCCACTCAATATGATATCTAAATAAGTCGAGTAAAATGAAATTAGTGAAATCAACTGATCCGAAATTATTCTGTTGCAGGTAGATCAAGAAAAACTCACATTATAAGCAAAACGAGTAATCTAATTTTCACGGTAAACAAAAATTGTCTTGATATAAACAAGATACCAATAATTATTTCAGGAGAATTTTCCCCTATCGTTATAGAAGTTTATTTATGCAAAGATTTTCGAAACACTAGTTATCACCAAGTCTAGGTTGTTGTGAAGCCTCAATGCTTCAGTATCGATCTTTATGCATTTGATTTATATTGCTCCAACTTCGTCATATGATGTATTCACGTTTAATTACGGTGAATTTATGAACACGAAAACATTCCCAAGTAACCGAAATTAAAAATTACCAACTCTTAAACTCCACTGACAGCAAATAGCCCGAGCCAGGCTACTTTATTTATTCTGAGAGGACACTGAAACAGCATTTGTGTTACACTATACAGAACTTCATTGTGACACTGTTAAGGTCTATCACTTTGGTGAACCAAATGGGGGAAATCAACGTAGATTTCTAACAAAATTCTGAATGAGATTGTTCCTTACTAACTTAGAGTTGGTTGAGATTTTGAAACTCAACTCCAAAGGCCAGCAAAGCTAGAAATCTTCAAGTGAACAGAACATTTTTGGCTCACTTTCCTTCTCGATCTTTATTTATGATCATTTTGATAAAATCAGCTCAGTGGCATCAATCTGCGCAAACTGAAAAATATATGGCCTCTGAAGAACCTTAAAACAATAGAGGAGTACAAGGAAGATAGTGGAAGAAAAAAACCTATTAAAATGTCATACCGTGAAATTCTTCCCCACGTGACTTTCTTCAAAAGAGAGAAAAATCGCTTGAACCGGTTGTGAAGACGGGCAACTGAGTGGGTGATAGGGTAAAGAGTAAATCTTACGAAGACAGACTCCAATAATTAGGACTTTTTTCGCTGATTTAAAGCAAAACCCGAGTTGATCTTAAGAACTTAAAGTATCACAGTCTCAAAAATACTACAGTTTCATAATCACCATGCCCCTGGAATTAACCCCAAATAGTAGCGGCACAAAGAGTACTAACGCAACTATGATACCATGTTTTCGTGTTAAGGGTTGCTCCTATTTGGAAGTGACCTTAGTTTCCTCAGTGGATAGCTTGTAAAGGGTGTTTGAAGAAAGCTTACTTATTCATGAACTAGCGTCTACAGATAGACGCTTTTAGCCTAGTGTTTGCGGTGATCATACTGTGTCAATAACTTTCTATATCACTTGGTATTGTTTCATGTCTTCTTTCAATTTCACCCTCCAGGTTTTCTACACTGTCTACATTATTCATTATCTAATTTTGTTTTCTACATATTTAGCCCTTAGTATTAGGATTTTTCTTTGTAGTTTTAACATGGGTTGTTGTACATTGAAATCATTAGATTCTTCGCCGCACTTTCGACCACCTGCGCTACGTACCTAGTTTGTGTCATTCGTAAGTGCTTCGTTATTTTATAGGTTGCGTGCATTGTTTTCAGATTACCCGATTACAGAATTCTGTTCGTTAAATTTTGAGGAAGTAAGCTTTAGGATGCTCAATGAAAGAAACTCTCTAGGTGGCCATAATTGACCAATTTATTAGTTGTATGAATTCAAACAATAAATAAGCTCTTTATACCTTTTCTAAGCTTGTCTTTGCCGAAATTTCGCAGTTTTTTTCAGAAAATAATTTGATTTACCTGATAATGTGTGCACTGAAGTGTACAACGTGTCTATACACCGATTTGCTTTCGCACCTGACACGATCATATCAGTTGTCGATAATTTTGCGTTAATTCAGGTGAAGGTACACATGTTGGTGTGATTATAGACGAAAATTGAGATTTTTGGTGGTCATAAAAGTGTGACCTTATATACCTATGCTTTTTGTGTTGCATTTGAGCTGTTTTTTTATCTCCTCAGCCGCGGCGAAAAAACATGTAAATGCAGTCTCGCCCGTATTCCCTCCAAGTTTGCATCTACTTTATTATTTTTGTTTGATTAGTGATACTGGTGTTTAGTGTGGAGTGCCAAGCAAACGTGTTAGTTCGGATAATTCAATTGCTGAGTGTTATTAAATTAAGTATTATAGATGTTACGAACACCCTCTTATCTTCAGCTTGCATAGTCATTTTTAATAATGTAACCTCTGCGTTAGGATCAGTTTTTTGGGCAATTATTAAGTTTAAAACCATGATGTTAAACCATATCTTAGATCTCAAGGGTTCCCTTTTCCTTACACGCTAAAATGAATTTATTTAATAAAAGTGACTAAAATAGTTTTCATAGAAACCCAAGTAAGAGATGTCTCACCTGTTTGTTCTCAAGTTGTTTAATGGCATATATTCATCAGAACTGGTTTGGGCTGACAATATTCTTAGTTTCGAATTGTTCTGAAGTTGATAACTAGTTCATTTTTTTCGAAATTAGTCCCGACTAATATGCCTTCACATCTATTCTCATGTTTTAAGCCATAGATTTCGACAGTGATAACAATAGACATGTTTCACTTAAATATACCTATGGTCCTTGCACATCCTTTTTAAGAAGCAGTAGGTATTTTTGGAAACTGTCTGCTACACTTTGTCATGGGTGGGAACATAACTGAGTCAAGTTTTTCAGACGCAATTATGGCACATTTCAATGCATACTACTGCTACATCAGTCTGACTTCAAAAAACCAACAGTTCTTTTGTCAAAATACTATCGTACCGTTTTATACTTACAGCAGTGTCGACTTTGAGGATTTGTCGGACCTAAGTCATACTTTGATCCCATGAATAGTTTTTAATGTTAGTAAATTTTACCGAATCACAAATACTTACATGTTTTCGTTTATTTACAGGCAATAATGTCCGAGTTGGATAGTTCACATAAAATCAATACTTTCCAGTGGTTCTATCATGTAGCCTCATCATGCGGATTCGGATTGCATACATTTTCTATCCCAACTGTAATCAAAATCCGGAATTTTTCTGACTGCAAAGACAAAGTATGTCCTTATGTGTGTTTTTCTTAGTAAATTTTGAACCCAACAGGTGTATTAATTGATTCAGTATCAGTTTAGTCGATTAAAACAGCTTGTTAAACCGTATTCCTCGCCAATCACTTTTCGAATTGATTAGATAACTTGACACTCAAAACCCTTATTGGAAATGAGTGGAATTTTCAGGACAAATAAATCATGTTGTCCGTCCAAAAATTCAAATCTTAGTAAACACACGATTTTTGACTATTTAGCTCTACAAATCTCAATATCGACCATAATAATCAGGTGCCTTGTAACCATTTATTTAAGGACTTGTTACTGTAACGGCGAAGCCTACGCATGTGGGTGTTATACAGTAAAAACGTGCAGTTTTTTTTATGAAGTTATTACCAGTAAAATCGTCATGACCTCTGAAAGATTTTAATTCAGTTATAGAGTGAGAGATAAACAATCATGAGCAACTTTTAAAACCGGGCAGATGCATTGATTCAAGCTGCCATGCTTCATTACTATGAAAAGGCAACAGTAAAACGAATTGCATAGGGGATCAAGATAATATTCCTACAAGGGAATAAAGAAGTAACGAAAGTTGAGAATATAATTTGAAAAGACAATTAATTAATGTTGGCACTTAATATCTATATCAGGATTGCAAGTGGATTTAACTTTCCCATTGAGATCCATATCTTTGATGTGGATTGTAACCTGATGGTCCATATATACCATCATAGTTCAGACAAGCAGTTAATGGCCGCATAGACTAGTGCTATTTTTTGGTCTGAAAACAAAGATCGAACGAATATCATCCTTACTCTGAGAAAAAATCTTAATTATTAATATGAAAAGTAGATAAACTAACTGATTATTTGCCAGTTAAAAAAAGTTATTTTTAACATAACAGCCAACCAGTCAAAATACACGCCCTGAATTTTGAAGTCATCTATCTGTATTACAATCATTCCATTTGTTCTTTTATTTCTTCAGCAACGTTTCTCCAAACTCGTTTATTTCTTCTATAATACGTTTAAACTGTTTGTTTTTTTGCTTATGATTTTAGCTACGTTGTCGAATTTACTTCATTTCCTATCCTTCGACTAGTTTTCAATCTGGCACTAAACCTACATTGTTATTTGCTGATGTAGATCAACAAAATTCATCTGATGACCAAGTTATGTGGTATCCATTATTGCCTAGTGAATTTTTTGACCATAAGTAAGCATTATATTTTATTCTTTTGAAGATGATCTGATGAATAGTGCTACTGTTGTTGAGTATTTCTGCAACTTTAGTGGATATTTTACTTTATTTAAACACATAAACATTGGTAAAAAGGGCATCTAACTGTCTATGCTGCATACAAATTACTGACTCTATGAGTAGGCTGGAATACTGCCTAAACGCTCAATTAGAAGCTTGTAGTTTTCTTTGACTCAAACATCTTCCACAAGGCAATGAAATAATGTAAGTAAATGCCGTCTCATGATATCCGGTGACAGACAATACGTTTATGGAACGCCTTACAATAATAGGTATTGTTGGAAAAGTGTTAAATGCTGAGTCATAATTTAGCTGTTTTACGGTAGCACAACATTGCACCCTGAAAAATCTTTTTTAATCTTGATTATTCAGGTTATTCGAAATGGGCACCGTATTATCATCCATGAAATAAAAGTGTCTTAATTATTATGTTACAATTAAATTCAAAAGTCATGTTTTTTCATTGCGAAATACTATTAAAATTCACATAATCAGTTGTCAAATCCATTCGGATTATGTGTTTGTTAAGTTCGTCACTTGGTACGCTTGAAGCTATTATGAGCTCACCTTAGTCGATAAACGCGAACGAGACAATTACCAGCGTCCAGGTAGGCTACATTGAATCCCAAACTGCAAAACAGAAGTCTTGATATAGCGTGGAAAGTATATTCTACAAACACTCAGCAATCACAATACAATCATGCACACAACTCTCGTTTATTTATACATCATAGAAACGTCCTTGGAACAGTCACAAAAATAGCACACTAAAATATATAGCAGCCAATCACAGCCATGGATTTTCCTGGTGGGAAATGAAATCTCAAGGTTAACTGATCAGCCCATACTCGCAAACGTGAAATCCAAAATAAGGCATTTATCAAGCGAGTTCTGGGGATCTAACATCCCTAACAATGTTTAGTTTTTTTTCACATAAAATTATCGCCCAACTACCGACTGCCTCGTCGAGCTTTGTTTTGTAGTGTAGGAATAGGTTGGAAGAAAGTTAGGGGCGGCCAAATCAAAACATGGCACAAACCCATGAAGTCATTGGCAAGTGGACTTAGCCATGTCAGTAATTGTCGACTACCTGGTTGGGTTCCGCGAGATGATAATAATCGATGGTTAGAGACCTTGGATGACATGGCTCAAAATCGTTCGCAATGGCGCCGGTGCATTTATCCTTTGTGTTCTCTCAAATCCTAATCTTCTGGATTCTTCAACATCTCTAGTTTTGACTTTCTAAACTTTTCTGACTGAATCATACTTCTTGAATAATATCTTCTAATCCTAACCTCTCCGATTACTTCTAATACCTTTACTACCTCTACTACTATTGGATTTGAATTGACGATTACTTCTCTGTGGTGATGTGGTATGGCGACATGAACTGATGTACTTACGTACGAAGTTCTACGTTGCATCTGACTGACTGACTGACTGACTAAACATAAAATTATCACAAATAATAGTAATCACCTTCATTAAGGTATTAATTTATTCGTATTGTTTATTGAATGACTTTTGTAATAGAGAGTACTATTATTCTAAGTTGAATTCCCATAGACTTTAAATGTATTTTGTAATTTGTCGACCATTTTACAAAGTTTCTATTCATCTTACTTTAAGTCATTTGATTTCTTTAACCATATAAATTAAAGTGAACTTACTTCACAGTGATTCAGGCGCTTAATATTCATTCATCCAGTCAACAACCCGTGTTTGCTATAAATAAATTAGAGTGATTTATATAGGCTGTTGATGTATAGTATGAATATAAGTCAGTCAATCACTCAACTACAACGTAGAACTTGGTACTTACATACATCAGTTCAAGTTGTCATACCACATCAGCACAGAGAGATCGAATTGTCAGTTCAAATCCCATATTGGTAGAGGTTGTAGCAGTATAGGCAGTAATGGAGAAGATTGGGGTTCAAACATAGGATTCTAGAAGTACATCCCAGTGAGATAAATTTAATCAGAGAAAGATATAGGCGGTGAGGAATTCAGAAGATTAGACTGAGAAAAGACGAAGAATGGATGCATCTGCGTCATTACAAGCGAATTACTGCGTATAGACGAATATCTCGCCTACACCATAAGTGACGCAAGTTGGCAAAAGCCAGCCGAGCCTTCTATATCCGTGCCGACATTGCATCAAACTAGGTCGTCAGGACTAATGAGACTCCCAAGACAAGTGACGTGGTTAACACGCTCAACTTCTTCACTCTCTATCATAAGTTTAGGTGCCGACGAAATCCAGTTGTGAATAAACATTATTCTAGCTTAAAAATAAAGTACCTTGCGGTCAAAAATAAAGTGTCTAGGCAACAAAATTACCTTCTTATATAGGTTTTTACTACTAGTGGATTTCCAGGTAGTATCCCAGCCCATACACAGATTTACTGATTGGTGTGGCACTTAAAGACTTACGTACTCCTTTCTAGCAATAATAATTAAGTTTTTAATAAGTTATGATAAATATCATATAAAGTTTGGTTCTAAGCTAATTACATAGACATATTTCTAATAAATGAATCAATAAATTACTATCCATTGTTTCAGTGCAACTTTCTAAATCCCTAATCATCAATTTTTTAGTGTAGTTGATTTGTGATGAATCTCTAATTTGAAATTTATATCACTTACTAACCCTGACCGGACAGTCTAAGGGAACTAGGATGCACCAGACAGATGTTTATTCTTAATATGAGACAACTAAACAACTGACATCATTTTATAAACGAGAAATCTCTTCAGCTTCATATAGTAATGATGTGTTCACTAATGAATAATTTAAAGTGGGGAAGTGTTGGAGTACTAATAAGAAGCTGCAACTAACTAGTAGAGTTCTACCATTCTGCAAATCGATTAAAGTTGAAAATATGAACAATTCTATACTAGATTAGTTCTATATAAAAGTTAAAGTCATACTATAAGGCTTAACAGTTTTGAGTTCTCAGTCCTTGCAAACTTAAATAATACATATTACCAAGATGTTCCATACTGAAATGAGAAAATGCTCCAACACTTCTTAATTTCCAACACTTATTTAACTAATGTCTTATCTGTAATGTAAACTAGAAATTCGATTTGATTTTTTCTCTTAATAAACGATGTGTTTTTGTTTCATTTACTTTTTTTTTGTCAAATACAAAAATTGAAGAAATTCACTTGCATTAGCTGACTTTTTGATTCATGAACGTATGCGTGTTTCTGTATCCGGTGTAACTAATTATTGTTTATCCGATTGTGGTAAACTGATTATTTGTGCATCAAGTGAAATTTACAACACTGTAGATAATACTAGTTTTGGAGTAAGTTATTATTTAGTGTTTTCTTTTTAAATATATAAATGAGATGCTTTTTTTCATTATATGCATATATATATATATATATATATATATATATATATATATATGTATTGCGGGGTTGTTGTGAAGATTGTTAAGTTTTATTTGTAACCATGAATCGATCAATGTTAGAACACCATTAGAAACCTGGAAGCACTGCACCACGGCCGTTTCGTCCTGGTATGGGACTCATCAGCAGTGCGCATCCACGACTCCTGCACCCCGCAGGATTCGAATTTGGGACCTTCGGTATTGTACGCGAACGCCCTAACCGTTAGACCACTGATGAGTTCCATACCAGGACGAAACGGCCGTTCAGTGCTTCCAGGTTTCTAATGGTGGTCTAACATTGATCGATTCATGGTTACAAATAAAAATATATGTATGTGCTGTTTAGATTTGATTTGATTTCTAATAAATAGTTTGCATTGTATTAAATTACATGCCTAATGTTATAAAATAGTTTATTTGTTGAAGTGTTTGACTCTTAATCATTTGGTTATATGTGTGTGAATCCCGTTCCAGTGATTTGTGTTTAGAAGGTTGGATCAATAATTATTAGGTCTTATATATGAACAATGCGGTTTAAATTTGCGTGCCAAAATTAGTAGGATGGTAGTGACAATAGAAAGAAAAACAATGAAGTTGAATTGTGAGGGTTGTTGTAACTTCCTAGGTTATACACACCATGTGAAGATAGTTCTTCTTGAGGTTTCTGAACAGGAGATCATGTTACAGAGTGGTCGATTTTGAAGGCGCTACTGTAGTACCCATATGAGCATTTATATATAGTTCAGGAATTTGTATTTGATAAATGTATAGTATTAGTTTAAACAATCATTGATTAAACATGAGGAATTAGTACTCTTTTGAAGTAGAGTGTTTTTTCTAGAATTAAAGTTTGACTAATGGAAGTAATGCTATTCAAACAACAACTTCGCGTAATATGAATTTTTATAGGAATATTGAATGCTTTCATTTCATCTTGTTCACAGAATTAGTTTATATTTCAGCATAAATTGTTCAATTTTGAATAGATGGATTTGTTTTTACGGATTAGATTTATATCAGTACTGAAGTTTTGAAGATTGTTTTACTAAAATTGACTAACTTTCAGTATTTTTTCTAGTTTCCATATTTATATTTTATAACGTTTATCTTACTTTTTTTCTAACATAAATTGACATTCATTTGGCTTGTTCAGTAGTCATCTCTTCTGCAATAGACTTTGTCATGTTATTACTGCTTTCTTTTTAATTCAATTTCTCAACAAATTCGGACTTTACTTGTTTCATTATTGTTAGTGGGTCTACGTTAACCTAATTGACTAAGTTTCAATTTGTTGAAATGGTATACTTTCTTGAAGGATTCTTGGTAGTGTTGTGTTCTCTCAGCTAAATGGTTTCAACTGAACTGAGCTATGTCAGTTAGTTTAGCTTACCAGGTCTGCGAGACAATCGTAACCGATGGTTAGAGACTTTGAATGACATGGCTTAAAATGGTTTACATTGGTGCAGGTGCATCCATTCTTTTTCTTCTCCCAAATTCTAGTCTTTTGAATTCCTCATGACCGTTTTTTCTCTTTTGAATGTATTTCACGGGGATATACTTGTTGAATCACATCTTCGATCCCTAATCTTTTGGATTACTGCTAATACTGCTACTAACTCTACCACTATGGGATTTGAATTGACAATTCCATCTGTTTGTGCTAATGTGTTATGACAACTCCAACTGATATATGTACTCAGCAAGTGCTACGCTTTAGCTGATTAAATGACTAACTGAAGCCAAATGGTTTAGTCTGTCCTATTGGTCCGTTATACTCAACTTTTTTTCCATCCTCTATCTTCAATGCAAGGGAAGTCATCATCCAGCTTTTACTTACACCTGTTACCACTAGCGGAACATCTTGGGCCTTCCTTTCCAGTTCTATTCAATGGCTGCTCATTCTCTTCATGTCTGTTTCTAATTCTCGGCGTAATTTACTCTTTGGTCTTCCTCTTTTTCCTTTGCCCTTGAGAATTTCAAGTTAAGCCAGCTTTTAGTATTATTATATTCCAAACATATATGGGTCTATTATATTCAGATATACCGAACCACACCGTACCATAAAATAATATAAATGAAAACTATACATAAACAAGCTGTAAAGTGACTGAGTAGCAAAGTCTGTAAGTAAAAGACTTGTAACAAATTAAGAATAATAAGTTGTATTACAATAGTTAATGTATTAACTGAAAACTTGTAATAAACACGATATATAAAAGTAGTAATCCAAATACTTAGTAGTTGTACAGTAAAAATATAGATACTAATGGTAATTCGACAAACGGTTCCATAATGTTGATTGTAAATAATGACTGAGAATAAGAGTTTTAATGTTTCCATTAAATACAAGGATTATATGTTTGAATAAAGTATGATTAAGTCCACTAAATGTCTTTATTAGAGTAAGATTGATAGCATACACTGCAAGTGATCGATTGTAGCGTTGTATAGTATGGTGTTCGTTAATTTCAAAACTTCAGGTGATTCTCTATGTCTACATCATGGACTGTTCTTAGCTAGATAGCATTTGAAAACTAGGAAGCACTAAACTGCTCTTTTATCTTAGTTTTTGACTCTCCAGTAGTGTTTAACCCAACTTTAGTCTAACATCAATCAATCCACGATATAACTCAACCATCTTTTATTACCTATGATGGATACCAACTGCCTGACACTCCACACAGTCAAACTCCATTATTCATAGTTGCTCATAAAAAAATCCTGTAACTTGGATCTAGAAATTAATCACTAGTAGTATAAAGGGGATTTGTAGAGATGATATCATTATTATTCTAGTTTACATCATGAACAAGTCTTATCTAGATATCCATTGAAAACTAGAAAGCATTAGATAGCCATTTTTTCTTAATTTATAGAACTGCATTATACCATGTTTCTATAATTGACAGATCTACTCTTTTTATCAATGTTTTGTTTTAAAAAGTTTTTTTTTTCATTTTGTCTAATCCAATAGGAACAGCCTAATTATCTTGAACCAATCAAAGCACCATTGACTAATGTAATTCAACCAATAATGTGTTCATTAAATTCAGATTTTATTGTTTGTTTATCAAATGATAATATTTTCATTGGTTATATACCAACCAATACATGGATACCAATAACACATTATCAAAGTAATAGTAAGTTATAATTTTTATGAATGATTATTTTTAATATGTAAAATAGTGAATAGTGCATGCGATGTCAAGTCATGTAGATTAAAGTTAGACATTTACACCTTAGGATGTCGGCTCAGTGATCTAGAGGTTAAGCGTTCCCACGCAAGATCGGAGATCTTAGGATTGATTCCTGTGAGCGGTGGTCGTGGATAAGCACCTCTGATGAATCCTATACTAGGACGAAACGTTCGTCCAGTGCTTCCAGGTTTCTAATGATGGCCTAACAATGATCGATTCATGCCTTCAATGAAACTCAACAATCGTCACAGCCGTATAATGAAAAATCATCTAGTTTAGTTGTTGCATTGAAACTTGATCAATAGAATTCGATCGGCACTAAGAAAGTCTTAATACTGACACAAATATGACATTTGTTATAACCCAGTAGATTATTTGGTATTTCAAGATTATCTTTCATCATAAATTCACGTAAACTGGTTGACCATTAAAACATATGTATGTCAAGATCTAGCCTAATTACTTTTATCGTCTAGTATTTTTCGGACAGTACTTCCTTCGACTAGTTCCAAAAATCAGGAAATGGCTTAAACAGGTGTGTCATTATATTGTAATAAAACTTTGTTGAATTGGATGTATGCCTAACCACTGGTTGCCTCAAAGAGCTATTTCTTGTGGTGTAGGGGTAGGCCAGAAGGAAGCTAGGGTCGGCCTAGCCAAAATATGGCACAAATCCACTAAGTCATTGACAAGTGAACTGAGTCATGTTGATAGATGTAGACTACGTGATAAGGGTCGGCGAGACAATAGTAACCGATGCTTAGAGACCTTGAACGACATGGCTATTCGCTAGAGCCCATTGGCTAAGAATGAGCCTATATAGTCGGCTTCAAAATTTATATATATTGGATCCTAAAACCGTAGATGAATCAATAGATCGTTTTAGCAATTGTTCATTATGGTTAGTGCTATTTTTCCCAATAATCCGTCTCATCTTCTTAACTTCCTCTTTCGATGTACTGTTTTTAGATGTACGTTCCACTCCTTCATATTTGTGGAAAACACTAGGAGAATGTGCTCGTTTGAATGCATAATCGCGATTTTAAAGTCTATGAGTGCTCGATCGTTTAAAATATTTCGTGAAGGAAACAGATGACAGTGGAGCCTCAATTCTATCATAAACAAATCGTTTAGTGTCCTTTTTTCTTCCAAATAATCTTTTTGATGTGTTTTGAATTTTGTCACTTAACATCATAATATAATGGTTCCAACCGATGATTATTTTTCTCAACTCTTTATCTCATCATTTTTTGTGTAATTTTCAATTCTAGGTGGCCTATCTGCCGGTATCCCATCGTTTGTCATCCAAGAAGAATTTGATCGATACATTGGTTATTGGTGGAGACCAACACTGACTAATGGTATATAACATGATATGTTTAATGATTCTTTGAATAAGAAAGTTTATTCATTTTAGCTTATAAATTAGTGAAATGTGTATAATCATCTGTAAAGCTTTTATCTTAATTAGTAGATATTATATATTCACACCTCTCAATCGATAAAAATAATTCTTTAAGCCTCTTAAATTTATTTAGAATACTTAATCTACCTCAATGTTTTTACTTTGTTCAAATATTTTATCAAAGTCTCTACTGAAAACAAGTATGAAACTTTTATTTTCAGTGATTGGAAGTAGTTTGGATCGTATGTTAGATCCTAAGTTAGGGCTTGCCTCGTGACACTGTTGGGTGATTTCTGAAATGTGTCCTATCTACCTCCAGTGATTTTTCCTATACTATGAGGTCTATAAGCGCAACCTAATTTTATGTACTTTTGGTTTGCACATAACGTATAATATGCAGCAAATGTGAGTAAAGTGAGTGATGATCATCGTTCCTTCCAAAGGGGCTAGTATACACATGTATATTCCATAGAATATACATTGGTTAGAATCTCTATATTATCAATATGCATATAACCTATACTAGTCCCAGTTGCGATACTCTCACACTAAAACCCTGACAGTTTGGGCGATTTTCCTATTTACCCATATTCATGTGGTATGTGTTGGTGCCTCGAAAAATAAAAGTCAGAATAGCCAGTAGATTTTTCTAATCGAGCTTTACCAACCTCATAGCTGATACATCTCACCAAACCAATATATATAAAACAAAGGTTTCAATGTGCTTCTTTAAAATTTCATGAATCACTCTATTCCTAAGGTTCAATTTGTTGTTTTTCAGTCGGACTGAAAACTGCAGTGATCAAAATGTTCATCTAACAGTGTATTATTATTTGTCAGTGTAATAATTTCGTTTGAGATTACATTTTACTCTATGATTAAATTTTACTCACTTGGGACACCCGAGTGAGCAACGCTGTTATTAGGAAACAGGTGCTAGGTAAGAATGGCAGATCAATAGATGAAGTA